CAGAGCAGGAGGCTGTAAGAAATGGCTGCTGCCTGCCAGGGAAGGAGGTTATTTTTTGTGTCCTGTCATATTGTTACTTCTGCTGTTACTACCTGCTGGTGTCTCCCTGAAAAGCGAGCGCTCCAGTGACAGCGGAAGCCCTGAGGGGGCGACCATGGCAAGGCCTCCCTTGGGCTTGTTGCATTTTCCTAAAGTGACCAAAAAAAAAATCAGGCAAAAATCTGCTGGGGCTAAAAAAAAAGAATTTTTTTTTCAGTAGTTATGAGAATGTAGATTCAGTTATTTGGTCCCTTTAAAAAAGATGAATTAAAAAAATAAATGCTGCTGTTTTGTGAGCCAATAACAGCTTAAAAGCTTAAAACAATCTTAATCTTAATTTTTTGTTTGTTTTCCTTTTACTGCTCTACAGGTGATAAAGAGAATGATCAAGTGTTGCTCCTTACTCAACTGTCACACCCAGGTAAGAGCTGAAACAGAGTATTAAATTGAACAGTAATCTTCAAATATTTTTGACTTTAAAAAATAAAACTGACTCTATATTGTCTTCTAAATCCAATCTGCAATTACAAAATAAATTTAGTTGTTTTTGTTATCGTTGCTTCTGTGGTTCTAATTTAACTTGATTTACCAAGGAAAAAATACTACTGCTTGGAACCATTATAAAGGAAGCAGTAGTTTGAGTTTGTTTTGTTTGTATGCGCTGGCCTCTACAAACAGAACTACAACCTCGAAGAAGTTCATCTGTGGGGTGTTTGGGGGAAATCTGGTTCTATTCACTTGATCATCACCTGCGCTAACTTGTTCATTCCCTAAGAGGAGCAACATGTAAATTAAACTGGAGGCTAACAAATATTGGGAAATACGGGAGCTAGATCAGTCTTTTCACATTGAAGTAAAACATCTCCCTTTTTTTTTTTTAAGCGCTGTTGCAAGTATTTTAGAAGGAGTTATGTATGTGCTTGAAGTTTGGGTTTTAAAAGCTACTAAGTTTAGGGACTGAAGGTACTGATGCTCTCTGGCAAATTGAGGTTTGTGGGGAGCTAGGCCTGTGAAGTCAGCTGGAGTCTTTCCTTACAGGTAGCTATTTTATGCCAGTTCCTCAGAGAAGTGGACTATAAAACCGCATTTAAGGCACTGCAGGAACAAAACAGGTAAATACTGCAGCAAATAACAATTGTCTGCATGTTATGTGCATATTATATACATAAAGCTTATGTCTTCTCTTTCAGTCATGATGCTATGGATTCTTACTACGACTACATCTGGGATGTCACAATTTTGGAATATTTGACATGTATCCTTTCATTAGCAATTACTGAAGAAACAATTTATAGGGGAGGTTCAGCTTTGGAAAGTCACTTTTAGCTGCTGGCAGCTGCGTTTCATGCTCGAGTCAGACTTCCTGCCCTGGCACCCTCCCTGCCTCCATCTCCCTGGCACCACCACCTTAAGGCAGGGTTTCTTCACCGTCTTCATAAAGGGGGCAGGTGGCTCTTCTTTTCCAACACCTCTTTCCCAGCATCTCTTTTTCCTGACTTTCCATCAGATCTCCATCATAAACGAGGCGAGACAGACAAGAGACAAATAGCGGTAAGTAGGAACAGAATGTAGCAGGGAACGGTGTAGTGTTTTTTAGTTCCCTGAAGCCTATCTTTGAAATGAATTACTACTTCCAGTTTTATATTCCTGCATAATTTTTACTACAAGGGGGATGCTGACATAAACTTGCACCAAGAGGGTGCAGGGTTAGGAGAGCATAGATATTACAGAAATAAAATCATTTCTGCTTGAACTAGTGCTGGAAACAAGCCTTGAAGGAGCTAGCTTAACTAATTGTCTTCTGCTAGTGCTAATACCTCTTTTTTCTCTTTCCAGATTAAAGCTATTGGCCAGACTGAGCTTAATGCCAGTAACCCTGAGGAAGTGCTGCAACTCGCTGCCCAGAGAAGAAAAAAGAAATTTCTTCAAGCAATGGCAAAACTTTACTTTTAAGCTAAAGGTGGAAAATCCTTATAAAAGGGGCAGAAATGGGAAAAAGGAAATCTTTCAATGCTTTTTATTTTTTAAATTCATTTAAATTTTTGTACAACATTTACAGTGTATCTTTTAGAAATAGATGAAATATTATAATAAACCCCCTTATTTTTACAAACTGTACAGAAGGCCTGAAACAACTTCAGCTAGTTCACAATGCATTGTTCATAGAAGCAATGAATTCAAGTTTGCTAAATTAAAGAGCTCAAGTTTAATACAACATGTAAAAAAAAAAAAAAAAAAGACACGAGTGTCATGTGAAGCTCAAGTGCAGTTTCACAAACTGCTCAAGGTCATACAAAACTGCTACTGCTAGAAGGAGCATCTTGAACAAGGGAGAAGGAAGAGAATGACTGTCCCCTTCAGCAGAAGTTAAGCACCTCAGTGGTAGAGGTAGTAAATATTCCAAGGAAAACAGTAGTTAATGCTGCTTATAAACACTGATAAAGTACAGCTCCACAGTTGCTTTTAAAAATACTGCTCACACTAGTTGAGTGGTTGTGTAAAGTACCAGCACTTCGATTTTTCCCCATACCCTTTCCAGTTCTGGCTCTTTCGGTCTTTTGAAGGTTGAGGGCTGGCTCTTACACCCTGGGACTCCTTCCTTGCAGGACTGCACTTATTCCAGTTAAGTTACTGCAGCAGCACATTCTCTACTTGTACTCATTACCTGAGGTCAGCGTTATTCTTAAATGAATTCTTAACATGTGAGTTCAGAGCAGCCCTAAAGCTATCTTAAAGTCATCAGCCTCAGGTAGAGCTAGAGTGTGACCCAGGGCTGGCTCAACCTTAATGCAGTGGCAGAGTGGTTTTAGAGTAAACTGCTTAACCACTGACCTCTCTAATCCTCCACCTGAGCTCATAGGGCAGTTAAGTTTAGACATTAAGATCTGCCTATACCAAGAAAAAAAAAAAAGAGTCAAGAAATATGTACAAACTGTCATCAAGCTCCTGTATGGCTATCCCAAATTAAAGCAAGTTTGCCAGGTGAGTTGAGTGGACGAGCTCAGCCACTCAGCCATTTCAAAACAAGTTCTTGAAATCTGTAATTCATAATTTAAATTAGGAATGTTCAGAGTTAACTAGTCCTGTTTGAGAAGGGACCGGAGTAGTCCAACCTCTTGCATTAACACAGAAAAGGACACTTGGCCTAAAAAAGTCCTTTGTCACATCTGTAGGAGGAGGTCTTAGCTTCCATCCATTGCTCTGTACAGTGTCTTACTGCCCAGGCCTTGCAGAGCAGCACAGAGCCTTGGAGTCAACTTGAGCACAGTCTTGTTTTGAAGCACCAAATCCTGTTTCTGGAACTCTTCGGGACAGTTGTTGGCCACATTTCATTTCTTCTCAGTACTTTTGGGAGGTGTTATGATTCCTCCTGTAGACATTGGAGATAACTGACCTGGGGCTGTAGCTGCTGCTCCACTGTTAACTTCTTCCTGTGAAGAGGAGTAAGACACATTAAGCCACAGGGCAGCAGTTTCCAGTTTTACAAACCCATCAGAAGCTTCTGTCAATTCAAGCCAAGAAACTGACTACACAACTAGAAGGGTTGTTACCTGACAACATTACCAGCTTTTAAACCCTCCCCTGTAATTCTTATCCAAGTCTGTAGGGCTTGGGAGCAGCATAGGGGAGCACGTCCTCTGTCCCCAGACCCGGGCACACTGCTGCTGCCAGCACCTGGGCCACCCAGCCAAGCTCACCGCGCTCAGCAGCCTCCCACCTCCTGCTTGGTGGTGATAAAAGGTGCATGAAGCACCACCAACAGCCTGAACTGCAAATACACAAACCACGTACCAGCATGTCCAAGTAACTTGTATGTGTTTGAATATTGTGTCGATCCTCTACTGCAACCTTTTTAAAATTCTTCAGTTTCACAGGGATTTTTCTCGTCACGTTTGCAAAAGGCACCATCCATTCCACACACTCGGAAATGCTGTCCCAGTCTAAGCCTGAAGGATGAATCACAAAGGCACATTTATAGATCCCAAGAGAGCTGTACAGTCTTTGTTTGCCAGAATTCCGATAGGGTCATAAAATAGAGAAAAAGAGCCCAATAACAGACTGCTCGTGATCCCTAACCCAGCTGGATCTCACAGGGCAGCAGTGTCATCCCCAGAGAAGAACATGCCCAGTTCCCCTGGACAAGGCTGGGCTTCTGAAAGCGTTTCCTTCTTTTTCAAGCCTTCGCAATGTGTGAAACAGTGGTAGGAAGGAAGTGAAACCAGGAAAACCCACAAACCCAAAGAACAACTTAATGCCCATTAGTTTTTGTTCTTTTTCTGCCTGATAAACGCAAATGCTCTGGGCAGTTTCAGGCCTGTAACAGCCTTCAAGAAGCTGCTGCCTGCGGGTGCCGAGGCCACCGCAGCGCCTTGTCTCACCTGAGGCTTTCTGAACGACGTCGATTGAGGTATAGTGGCAGAGCGCAGCAGCAGCCAGCGTCCTGTACTGGAAGTCCAAAGAATTCACATCCAGAATGCACAGGTCCAAGAGCTGAGGAAACAAGAGTTACAAACTTAATATCAAGAAGATACTTTAGTACAAGCTTGCCTGCAAAACTGCCATGTGTGCACTAGATCCTACACTCTCGTCGGTAGCACATAAGTGGCTGTACTTTTTAGAACCAGTCACATGTATCTGGGTTTAGCTTTGGCACCAATTTCAGTTAAAGCCGCTCTCTCAGAATTAGAATGCAAGAAAATTTGCTCTTCTACCAATAACACACAGAACACACCATTTGTACAAATCTAAGGACACCTTTAAGCTCTTGGCAGAGCTCCAGGAAGGTCTAATTCACTGAGCTCCTAAGTGCTTTTGCTTATGAGACCCATCTTCTCTGTCCTGAGACTCTGCAACGGTGGAGACACCTGCAAAAATTGGACAACCCTCCTCAGACTCTGTTCTGGACAAAGGCACAGAAACACTATTGCTGATGATGCAGCCAGATGCCACTACCTGTCCATAAAGAGTCCTGTATTATCCCCCTGCTCTCAAGGGCTGTTGCTATTGCCTGTTGTTTGCGGAACTACAGCACGTAGCAACTGCATTTGTGCTTCTTTCAATGTAGAGTCTTAAAATAGAGGAGGGCAGAGAAACAAAACACACATGGGCAGCTTCTTGAGGCTCCAGTATAAAGAGCTCCAAAAGGAGAAAATTTGCATGTTTCTTTACAAAGCAGTACATGAAGTGAAATAAGGAAAAATTTAAAATCTTTAAAGCTTTTCCAAGCACACTGTGTAGTGGTGCTTATATTACTCCAAAATGGCATGTTCCTATATGGCTTACCACCTACCTGTGCGATCTGGATGAATTTTTCCTGAGAATACTGAGGTAGCAGCACTTTGGGAACATCCTTCAGAGCATCCACTTGAAGATAAAGGTTCAGCCAAGAGATGATTGTCACCGGACAGAGTTCCCACTTTAAAGCCTGTAAATATTAAACATTTAAGTACTTGTACTATTCAACATTTAAGTTCTTACTACCTTCTGAAAAGGCTGGGTTGCAATCAGCAAAAAGCACGTTCATCTCAATCCTTTCACAATACTCAATGCAGTTGGATTTAACTTCTCTGTCCCACTCGGAAATTGGGGCAGTGCCTCAAAATGCCTCAGCCTGCAGCCAGCATCTACTGCTAAGGGTGAGTAAGGGCCTAGGAAATTCTGCAGCAGTAAAAAAGGATCCTCTCCAATACAAAGAGCACAGAGCTGCGTGCGCCAATTCTTTAATGCTAGAGATGTCCCTCAGATACTAGAGGCATTAAAACAGAAGGCTCAACGCACACCCCTTCAGCCAGTTCTTACAAGCACAGTGCAGTGATTACCTTTAACATAATAAGTTCCATTCTTATTATATCATCTTCACTGCAAGCACCATCAGTGACATAAGCAAATTCTTGAATTTTAGGAGCGTAGATTTCCTTTCAAGAGAGAAGCAGAAAAAAAATGTCAAGATCAGAGTGGCTTAGTGTTCCAGGAGAGCTTGAGAAGGTCCCAGCAAACATTCCTACTGTGCAACATTTCTTAGGCTAGAACAGCATATTCCTGGTTTCATGTAATGACTTAAACTTACAGGATAAGGAGATATTGAAAATACATAGTCTGTATGTTGCCTGCTGTATAATGTGATTTTTTGCAACCCATTTAGCTTTGGGGGAAATAAATGCTGACCAAACAATCAGAACAAACTTTCACTTATTTTGCCTGTTTTTGGGCTGTTGTATTTGAGGTAAAAGCGCAGACCGACCCGTTCTTGGCGCATGCTGCTGTACTGCAGAAGGCTGCTTGATACCAACCGAGGCCCAGCGTTAGTGCTGGCACAGTCACATTGACAAAAATACCCAGGAAAATATGGGAGAAAAATCCCGCCGTCTCCAGCAAGGCCGTGGGGCAGGGACAGGTGACGAGGAGGTTGTGCTGACCCTGGCCCCGGGCTCAGGCCCTGCTGCGCGGGCGCCTCAGCACCAAGGCCCAGCTGCCGGCAGCGCCTCTGCCCGGGGGCTCCCCGTGCTCCTGGGCTCAGTTGGGGCTCCAGAGCAGCCCACGTAAGTCCCAGATTTTCATCTCAGACCCCAGGACCCCAAACCTTCATCTCAGCCCAGCCTACCAGGTACTGCAGTGCGTTCAGAGGAGATGCAGGAAAACACCCTGGTGGGCTATGGAATAACAAGGGGGCAACGTAATGCACCACCACCAGTGCAAGGACTGCACCACAAAGGAAACAGCTCCATGAAACTGGCTCAGAGGGCTCTCAGTTCCCTGCGCAGGCAGTTTGGGGCCTGCGTTTGCTTTTCCTCAAGTCTCACCCCCCCTGCCCTTTCCTGGGAGCGTTTGCCAACTGCTCTGTGTTTGGAAAAGCACAAAGCTACTCCTGGCACCTTTGCTTAACTTGTAAGTTCAAGTGGTCTCCTTCTCTGCAGCTGAGGAAAAGGAGGACAGCTTCCAGAGCCTGATATATTAACAGCTGTTTTGCTGAATGAAAAGATAAAAGTTTCCTCCTCAGTGTACACCGCTGGTGTACATCAAAAGATTCCTACAGAAGAAATAGGATCATTGTCTTTTTAGGTAATCCAAACTTACCACCCTTCCCCTCTAACAGGGCTTCTCACCTCAAGCTTGGAGGCAATGAACAGCGAGGTGATTCCTATGAGCTGCAGCATGCTCTTGTTGATGTTCTTCTGCGTCAGCATGAACCTATCAAAGAAGTCTTGAGCGAGGTAGAAGGTCTCCCTGTGCAGTGCATACACCTCGCACACCTACAACAGGAGCAAAAATCATTTGATGCTGCACTGCATTCCATTATAAAACCTGATACACCCGTGTCAGGACATTCGTGATAACAGCAAATCATTGGATACTTGCAATTCGCTTTATCTTTTGCGCAGATATTATCACATAACTAAGTGTGTTCCGTAGCACTGAAGAGTAGGAAGCTGAGAAAAGTATTTCCCACTTCCCATCATTTATCCATGGCACAGTAACCTACTTCCAAGTGCACAGAGCACCTAAGTATCACCTAGTTTCCTTTGACAGGAGAACAAGAGTTACCAGCAGCTCTCCAGCAAAAGAAGCCTCGTGAAGGTGAGAACAAGCCCTATCTAGTGTCAGCTAACACAATTCCCCAACATGGTCAACTCCAGACTCAGGACTAGAAAGGTAGGGGCCAGACTTGCCCATGAATAAGTGAGCACCGTTTCTATAAAAGTAAATGTGCCAAATATGAGTTATGATGCTTGGTCGCATTTAGCAAAATGTTAGTTATGAAGTCAACTCCCCAGCACCTCTACAGATCAAAATATATATATACGTTTATATGTGTGTATGGCCAATTCAAAGTTAGTGAGGAAGTCAGGTGTTAAGAGAATTAGCAAAGTGTCACTATTTGGATCACTTCAAGATCAGGACTGTTAAAACCAGAACGAGGCCAACACTTTGGGGTGAAGCTCCCTGCTCCACCTTCCCCGCAGCAGCACCAGGGAGTTCTCTGCACAGAACCCATGAGCTTTGCTAGATCCTCTCTGCAGATGGGCAAAGCCTTCACAAGTCAAAGGCTGCTTCTGGCAACAGCAGCAAATAAATATCCTCAATACAAAGTTCTTGGAAATGCCTCTAGGACACAGCTCTCCTTTTCCAGCACCGGTATCCCTTCACACAGGGTGGCTGCCAGACTGAAAACTGGGAAGAGCTGGAAGTTCTCAAATGTAACCAAAGCGCAGTGACAAGGAGTATGGGTGTAGTTTGCTTGTAATCCTTTCCAAACAAGGACCTGTTTACATCAACAGCCTTTAGATGCCTGCCACTAAAGCACTGCTTGTTTCTGCTCTCTTCACAAGATACAAGTGAAATATCTAATATCCAGTCAGGAACGAGTAGCGTCAGTGGTGACATCTAAGGGCTCTCAACACAGACAAGGCCAGGGTGGTAGCAGAGGTCCTCAAACGAGTGCAGTTGTTTCAAGGCTGGGATACACTCTAACGTGGCTAAAGCTCCATGAATAATCTCACTTTAGCAGTTTCAGCACTTTGCCTTGAAATTACTTTCAGATTTTTCCTCCTCCCCAAAACAGATCTTAAAGAGAGCTTAGAATTATTATTTTCTTCCCTGCCTGGAAGGTTCAACATCTCCTGCCAGAAAAGGCCAAATGTAACTCACTAAGTCACCAAGAGGAGCAAGAGCAGTAACTTGTAACCCTTTTGTTGCAAACTGTTTTTGTCATTTACCACTACAGTACATTTTGCTATTACATCTTTTATGTAAAAGCTCTACTTTTATCCGCCTCCTTCACAGGTGTAACACATGGTAAAGTAAGTTTGGAGACAGACCTCCAGGAGCCAGTCGAGCAGGATGGACCTCATGTGGGGCTGCAGGCTGGCGTGTAGCGACGTGAAGTGCTTGCAGTGAGCGTATCTGCTCTCCTTCTTGAGGATGTTGAGCCAGACATCTTTGGAATTTCCCCAGCTACGGAATGAAGTTGCACACAGCAGTGTGAGCACAGAGACACCTTCACAAAGGGCATAAGAACCTTTTCTATTGTCTACAGATACTCAAAAAAATCTGCCCACTGGGAGATCCCTTTGGCAACCAGGAAACTGCAGAGCTGCCTGGAGCGGCTCCCACCAGCGCAGCAGCCCCTGGCCACGGCCCGGGCGTTACAGGGGCACCGGTACCACCTGGTACCACCCAGCCGGGCCCTCACAGGGGCACCGGGACCACCCGGAGCCGGTCAGGGCTCCCGCTCCACCACTGTGTGGACACCGACCCACACGGGGCAGGCAGCCATTTTAGAGCTCGGCTTTCCAGGCATGAGGTGAAGAACAAGGCGCCTCCAGCTGCCCCCAAACACAGCCCGGGTCAGTGTGAAAAGGGTTCCGGTCGGTGCTGGAAATTCACTTGCCCTGTCTAATCCACCTGAAGGTTCAGCTACTTGGGCAGAAATGGAATTCTTGGTTACTGCTACCCTTATTAGCACTTAAACCTACCAGGAAAAAACTAAGCGGGTGCCTGCGTCACTACTATGGTTTGGTTTTAATTTGGAATGATTATTATGGATTGATGGAGGGTTTTTTTCTTAAATATATTTCTCATACTATAGTTACTAAGGAGGGCAGCATGCTAATGCAATGCTGATTTCCTACTGCTATTCTTGGACTTAAGTATTTACTTTTCCCCCAAGTCAAAGCAGAGAGAAATTAACAGAGCTCGTCACCTTGTCCCACAAGCTCTAACTTAAAATCAACGCTACTCTACAGCCCTTGTAAACAAAAACACAAGATGCTGAAAAAAATACGTTCCTGTGTAATACACAAGCCAAAGCAGGCATGAAGAAATCCCTTGTCAGTATTTTTCTGCAGCAACTAGAAGTCACCAATGACTCCCTAGTTTGGCTATTGGAAAGGATGGAGCCCATCAACAAGAGGCAAGCATGGAGGGGACATGCCCAGGCATGGAGCTCCATATCCAAACGAGTCTTTGGGATCCAGCAGTTCATAGCAGCTTCCTAAAGCAATACAGGAGATACTCCTACCTTGGAATAAGCTTTCCAAACAAACAAAAAGGGGAGTGGGGTTGGGGGCGGAGCAATTTGCTGGGTATAAAGAAGAACATTCTGTGCTTCAAAGCACAGGTCAGCAACCTACAGCAGGCTGGGCAGTAACACAGAGGGCAGCTCAGTTTGGAGCTCACTGAAAGAGAGAAGAAGGGACCTGTTGCTTTGCACCAAGGCAAAGAGTCACCAACAACATGGCCTCATGTTCTGGTTCTTTTCCTGTTCACCTCAGCAGTTCTCTGTAAAGTCTCCACAACTTTATACCCACAACCATTTCATTAAATATTTGTCTGGAACAAAGAGCAACCAAGCGCTTATTAATGCGCCTGGATGTCCAAGGCCTTTCAGGATCCCACTTAGTCATCCTGTCTACCCCTCTCGAGGAGGGAAACTGCTTCCATCAATATATTTAGATTTGCAAGAGAAGTCTGGTCTACAGCATGGCCACCCTCTCCTCTCCAGCAAAAACCTTCATAAAACACGTTGTGTCTGCAGTCCTGTCTGCTGGACTAAAGACCAGGTCTGCAACTGGACGTGTTGCCTTCAGAAGCCACCTGCAAAGGGACAGCGCCACAAAGGTGTCTGTGTGTTTAAGTGCTCAAGTTCTGAAAGAAAACCTGATCTGCTACTTTGGCAAGTTGTTTTTTGGTCACTCAGTTTCAATAACACTGAAAGAAGCTTTAACCTCCATGTTCCTGAATCTTAAGGCCAACCCTCAGTGCTAAGCTCCAAAGGAGGGCTGTGAAGGAGGAAAGTTCTCTCTCCATTCTCACTGTATTTAGAAGAGCATTGAAAAAGTAAAATTTTTGTATTTTTCCAGACAAGCATCAGATTGTTCATGAGATAAGGAGACAAAGCAGAGGGATGGGCTGGTTACTGCTGCTATATGAACACTTTACAACAGATTCTCCTATGGCAGCTCAACATACTTGAAAAAGCATCAACAACTGCAGCATCTGGAAAACTTACTTGAGCTCAGGCAAAGGTGATGGATTTATGAAGAGGTTTCTGAATCTGTATTTTTTGAATCTGGAGAAGTCAGTGGTTCCTGATTCCTTATGAGGTGTTTCAATAATTATGCAAGGTGAGATGCCTCCTGTTATCGTGGGCGGCCAACAACTCTACAACATTAAAAAAAAAAAGACATATTTTAAATGTTGAATTTGCAATGGTAGCAAGAGGGGTGAAATCTAGATTAACTTTATATGTCGCATGCATTTCTGGACTTCAGCAGTGATTTAGAAGCATAGGTAAAGTGAAGGATTAAACACCAGCAAAGCCTTTCAAGAGCAAACAGGCACTTCTGACAAGCTCAGGGAACTCAGTTTTGAGGAGAAAAATTGCCTCAGGTTTGTGAGCCCGGCGTAATCAGATCCATGGCTAGGGCTGTCCAGCTATGGCACATAAAGAAAGGGCGCTCACTGCCTCCAGGGAACGGGACCCTGGGTTCCTTAGGCTGCTGGTCCTGCTATCTGCTTATTTACTGAGCAGGAAAAGAAAGCAGCGGGTGGAGGTCCTACGGGTGGAAATTCAGCAGCTCGTTATCTTCCAATTAGGGAGCCCAGGGAGGAACCACCCAGTGCAGCTCAGGGCAGCTCCCGCACCAGATACCCCGGGCGGGTGGGCAGCAGCGGGGCTGCCTGGGCCTGCCGGGATGCAGCGGCTCCAAAGGAGAGCGGCCACGGTCACCCAGGCAGAAAACTTCCCGAATTTGGAATTCCCTCCCTGCTCCCTTGTATTGGTCATGCGCAGCCAGCAAGTCAAGAGACACCAAGGGCACGGAGCGGTGTCAGTCTGAAAGGGCTGCCAGCCTTTACGATGGTGACGCAGGACACAAGTCACGTTCTGGAGAATGAGGTGGGACCAAGTTCCCAAAGCAGCAGAACCCCTGGACACAGGGCCTTTCCCTGTAGAGCCATTTTGCAAAGAAGTAAACCTGGCATTATGTCCCTAGCATATCCAAACCTATTTAGCCAGACTAAAGTACCCAGGATGAAATTGCATAGCCCCACAGAGCTAATCTAACATCATACAGCCCCCACAAAGTGAAGATCCTGCTTCTGTCCTGCCCCAGTCCTTCCTTGTTATCATCCTTGATGTTTGCTAGAGCCTCTGCTGGGTTGATGCAACTCACTAACCTGGCAGGGCAGTACTCACTTCTTGGAGCCAAATTATCAAGTTGCACCAAATTAACAAGTGAAAGGTGAAGAACAGGGGCAAGCCAGGCAGAGGAGTGAACGGCTGGACATCAGGAATGGAAGAAAAGGGGAGCAGGACTTCCCCCTTCCAACAAAGGTGAGTTGTGACATGATTTCATACCAAGATCAATCTATGAACTTGAGGAGTGTTTTCCCACACAAAGTTTCACAGAAAACTGCAGTTGGAAGAGCTTAACTGCACAGACTTCCTTCACCAGTGAGCTGGTAGCCTCATTTGGTGTAAGAGCAGATCAATGGCATAACTGCAGATGAGATTGTCTGCAAGAAGAAACTATATTGCTAATTCATTTTAAAGTGCTGGAGCCCCCCTCATTTAATTTAAGAGTGATCTATTTCATTTATAGTCAGTTCCCAAGGTGATTGAAGTCATTTTGATAATTCTTAAGCGAAAGAGCACCCATGTGGTTGTGAATATCAAGGTGGGGCTTCGAGCTCATTTAGGCAAGTTAAACAAGTGCAACGGTCCTGTTCAGACCTGCCTCTGGGTCTTACCCACTTTGCATATGGTGATATGAGGGAATATCTGCTTTTATTCTGATTTTAAACCTAGCCTTACTCTGCAGTGGCTTCCACACTGAAGGACTCTCTATCTACAGAGAAAGTAGGCATAAAGAAAAGCAGAAACACCTAAAGAGAAAGAACAGAGCATCTACACCTTCCACCTCTGAAGGGGGCAACTTGCCCTGTCTGACACTTTCTGGGGCGGAACGGGCGACTTCACACTCACCGGCCACTCCAGAGGGGACCCCTCACCCAGCACTGAGTTACCTTAATCTCGTATTGATGTTTCTTAGCGATTTTCCCATCTTCTCTTTTCCTTATCTCCTGCTGAGAGAGGAGAGGCAGGTCAGCGCACAGACACACGGATCAGCACCCACCTCCCCGCACCCGGGAGCCACCAGAGCCCCGGCCCTGTCCCCGCAGAGGGAGGACCCCTTCCCCCGGGATTACTGCGTTTTTGGAGTCTCCCAGCGCGGTCACCTCTGCTGTCCGGCGCTTGCGGCTCTGGAGCTGCTCGGGGGCCTGCAG